CTGGATCTTTATAGCCAGACAGGGCATGCTCTTTGCTGCACAATGTCAACTGGAAGGTGATTTCTGTTGCGTTTTGGCTATGCCTTTTTAATCCTTGTAAGAAATCTCATCAAAATCAACATTTTCAGGTAAAATCGAATTTTTATTTGTGCAATGGTGTAACCTCATGTTATCAACACTTTTGTTACATATTTTGACGATTGTTTGAGCACAATAGGTTATTAATAGATTTAAAAAAAATACAAAACGCGTATGAGTTTCATTTTTGGGGGACAGTACATACACTTACTGTTACTAGGATTGTCACATCCATTATGCTTCAGTCGATAACCGGGGCGGTGGGGTAGCCTAGAGGTTAAAGCGTTCGCTCGTCACGCCGAAGAATCGGGTTCGATTCTCCACATGGGTACAATCTGTGAAGCCAATTGCACGTGTCCCCCGCTGTGACATTGCTGGAATGTTGCTTAAATCGGCGTAAAAAACTAAACTCACTCAATTGATAACCAGTTGTTGGTATTTATATTCTGAAGATAAGAACTAAACCGTTCTTCCTTCTTCACAAGTACATATCTTATATGACTGATACTATTTCCAAAGCCAAGGAAAGAATCAGCGGCAATTTGAGGCGTAGTAGAAAATATCAAGGGACACTTTCTTCATGTCGCCAGTAAGTATATCCAGTATGTATCTTCACACAATAATAGCAGGTATATTAAGGCACATTTATGTAACATTTTGCCTTTATATCACAACTCAGGGTTAGTGCGACAGCTTGCGCCTGGGTGTGTAATGTAAAATATAGCTCGTATCTATGCTGCAGATTTGTGCATTTCTATGTACAGATATAGACGTGTGTCACTGCCTGTGGTTGCTGCACCGGTGTACGACACTTTGACTCACGATGCCAGTGACGACCCTTGCTACACCGGGATCAAGATGGGAGATGCCGGACAGTCCGGCACAAATGTCATCGATGTTTACTACAACACGGTACCTAATGCTGACTACGAAAACCCACCCTTGAGAAAAGAGTGGTGTTAAATTAGTTTTAGTAATCAAGTTTATATGCATCTTTAAGCGTTTCTGGCATTTTCTGCTGGTATATTGGGCTGAAGTACCGCCATCAATCGAACTGACCTTTAACGCTAATCGTTCTGAAAGAAATGATGTCCCTATTTTTTTGGTCATTCTATAGCAGGGTTATTGCTTGTGTACCCACCACGATCATGAACAGTGTTTGAGTTGCGAATGTTACCTGAAGATCATGACATGCGTACCGTTTCCCCTAATACCAAGTATCAGTGTTTGTTGTCATGATCACTTCATGCAGTTTTGACCATACCTGTTGCTCTCTCTACTCAATACTCAGTGTTATTGTCGATTTCCTCTAAACAGTTTACACTCAGTTACCGGTTGTGCAAACACCGCTGTGCTTGATTCCATTTGATGTTATTTGTTTGTGTGTTGTTAAACGCAGAAATCGTCCATGTAACAGTTGTGGAGGAGTTGTTAGAATAATTGAGTTCGGTCAAAACAATCCAGTGGTGGACATCACGAGCATCTATCTACGCAGCTGGAATACGATGACCTGGATCAAACAATTTAGCGAACCCGACGACAAGCATGGGTTACTTAACAGCAATTCTAATCCGTATCTTCACAGGTTCAACATGATTTGAAAAGGTGGAGGGCTGTTTGTTAGGAATGAATGACTGAGTATTGACACATCACAATATGCTTCCGAGAATGTTCTGCAACTAGCTTTGTGACGTTTGTTTTTGTTTTGTTTCTATTGTATGATTATTAGATTTACTGTACTGTATAAATAAATCATCAATCCTTTTTACAGCTGTGTGCATCTGTTTCTAGTTAACCCCAACATTTTGAGTTTATTATTAAACCTAGCAGTGTGTACATTTACGTAAATGTCCACTACCATATGATGTAGACATGCATTTCGACCAGGAAGAATTCATGTTCGCATCCCGCCAAGCTCGTTTATAGCGACACGTGACGTTGTGGTTCGAATGGTTATATAATATCAAAGAAAAACGATAAAAGTTTATGAGTAGCATCTACTATGGGTTGTATCCCATTACCCCTACATCCCATTATCCCTACACCCTAGTACCCCTACAACTAGTTAAAACAACACACGACATTTACCTGTCTGGCATAATGAACTTACCCATGGGAGCGATTAAAGTGTTGTGTATACAACTTAGAAAGGATTAAGGTGTTCTTGGTTATAGAAAGTTTGTTAAGATGAAATGAAGTAAATGTTGAAATTGACACTGAGATGAGACAAGTAATTTGATATGACTTAGTATAGTAAAGTGTTGTATACAAATTAGAAAGGATTAAGGTGGTCTTGGTTAGAGAAAGTTTGTTAAGATGAAATGAAGTAAATGTTGAAATTGACACTGAGATGAGACAAGTAATTTGATATGACTTAGCATAGTATATACATGTTGGAAACAAACTAACATGACATCAACATGGCTGGTCTTCGCAATGTTGAGTTTGTTATGTCATTGAGAGGTAGCACCCAAGTCCTATTTGAGGGTTATCTACACACTAAGAATGTCAAGAGACAGTCTTGTGTACACTGGAAGTGTGTCCAGTCAACTTGCAGAGGCAGAGTCACAACAGTCGGAAATGTTTTGAGGAATGCGACGGAGCATAATCATCCGCCAGTGGATAGCCAGAAGGTCCGGTTTGTCAGCAACCTGAGGAAGAGAGCGAGGGAGGAGTCAACATCGATGCACACCCTCTACAACAACGAGATTACGAACTAGGAAGATGATAAGATACCATTGATGCCATCCTTCCCGACCATGAGCAGTGCTATGTACCGCCATCGACAGAAGACAATTCCTGTTTTGCCGCAGACGAGATCGGAAGTGAACCTTCAAGATTCCTGGACGCAGACAGCAGATGGTCGACCCTTCCTCCTGTTTTCAGATGGTGATGACGATAAGATCCTGGCATTTGGCACCATGGATAGTCTTCAGGCCTTGCAGTCTTCTGAAATCATCTATATGGATGGAACCTTTACTGCCTGCCCTGATCTGTGGAATCAAGTGACCATCCTACATGCATGACGTGGAACCACAACCTATCCCCTCATCTTCACCATACTCCCCGACCGTCAGACTGAGACCTACTCCAGACTCTTCAGACTCATCAAGAATGAAGTTCAGCAGGGACTGAAGTTCAACCGGCCGCTTGTCCCATCCTGTGTCCAGACAGACTTTGAACTGGCGGCAATTCATGCTATAGAGAGATAGTTTCCGACTGCTGAAGTGAAGGGTTGCTTCTTCCACTACTGTCAGGCCATTTGGAGGAAGGTCCAGGATCTGGGACTTGCTGTTGCTTACAGACAGGATCTGGAAATATCCAGATGGGCAAGAAGAGCGGCTGGACTACCCCTTTTACCCCAGAACAGTATCCAGGACACGTGGGTTGACGCCATGGACGACGCTCCCGATGTACCAAGAGCGGCCACCTTCAACGATTACATGGTGACTACCTGGGTCGACGACGACGCCAGATTCTGTCTACCACTGTGGAACCATCACTCAACAACAGGTCCAAGGACAAACAACAACCTAGAGGGATTCCACAACCCCCTGAACCGGGGACTCCCACATCGACACCCCAACATCTACCGATTTGTGGAGGTGATCAGGAAAGTTGAACACCCTGAGAGAGCGAAAATTTCCCAGAGAGACTTTGGAGCAACACCGAGAAGCAGAAAGAGAGTGTACAGAGAGATGGAGCATCGGTTGTGTCGCCTCAAGGAGCAGCTCAATATTGGGCTGAAAACACAAATGCAGTTCCTTGACGCTGTGGGCCATCTCCTCAAATTGGGATAGAGACTTGTTTTAAAGACAAAAATTAACATTAAAAAGTTAACATGACCTGCTGCTCATATTCATGTCACGACCAGGAAGACATCTGTGCATTATATTCATTTATTTGTGTAATTGAATCCATAAATTAAAACATTAAATCTTGTGTTCATGTGTTTGGGCTAGTCCATTGTCCAGGTAACAGGTAACAGGAAGCGGATTAGCAGTGCATTGGACCGTGAACTTTGTTGTTATAAGCTGTAGGGGTAATGGGATGTAGGGGTAATGAGAGGATACCCTACTATGACACCCATCAGCATTTGTATAGCACTCAGTCTGATTTTGAGTGTAAGATGCATGCACACGTTACGGCAGATTGTATCTTTAACATACGTCGCTGTGTCACCAAACGGTTAAATGATCATAACGCCAATTTTGTATATCTCTTGATGCTGTGCACCGTTGTCATTTGAAACCCTAATTATTCTATTACGAGATGTACAAGTACATTTCCAATGGCAAAGGTACAGCGGTAAATCTCCTGTTCAGACGAACTGGCCGCTCTTTAGAACGTAAACGTAACTCTCTGCAGTGTTAAACACATGTGCTCATGTGACATTCATGTATTCATCAATTTCCAAACCAGGAAAACAATTACTCAAGAGCGGATGCTGATTGTGGATTGCCCATTACCTCCGTTATCGAGGTGTATTTCACACACAGGTAAGCTGCCATGTGTTTCCGCTTTGGTTTCATAGTGTTACTCCGTACCTGTTTCGTGTGAAGTTTCTTCATTCGGAATACATCAACCAACGCCTGTATACAGTAGACAAGAGTGTACTGGACGTAATGGAAGCATGGACATCAGGATTTACCCGGTTACTCTGTTGTGGCTAGGATGGATTGCTTACACACAAAACAGAAGTGGGTTTGAGTTAATCATTTGAAAATTGCAATCAGTTGCATGTTATAGGCTCGATTGAAATTTTATTTAATCGTTTAAAAACAACAGCCTATACAAGCTGTATGTCCTTGCTAAACTTGATTGGGTAAATAATGAGAAAGTAAGAAAATCACGACCCGTGTGTTTCACTGATTCTCATACTCGTTGTGTCTTGGAATGTTGCAGGTGGTCTTCCTCTAGAACTCACTCAGGTCGAGTCTGGAGATAATGTCACCTTGGTCTGCAGTGCCGCCAACACTACCATCAACCTGTCAATTACAACATGGTTTCGAGATGAAGCTCGAGTTTTGAATATATTGACTACAAACAATGACTGCTTTATTCACCCACCCAACTCTACAGACAATACTGCTGCGTATCGTTATGACCTGTACACATCAAAGGGTGTCAGTGTAAGCTGTACTACCTTCCAGCACAACCTGACACTAACTACAACTGAATACGTTGAAGTTGGGACCGTGTGGAGATGTAAAGATCAAAACTTCAGAAGTAGTAACAACCTTACGCCAGGTGTGACCTCCTGTTCTATTTCATGTACACATGTTCCTTGTTTAAACACACGTATCCTGTTATCCTCACGCATCATTGTATGACTTGTACATAATCCAATACTGATGTATACATCCGTTATTACTTGTATTGATACCATTCCCTTCATTTACACCAGGGGCGGTGGGTTATCCTAGTGGTTAAAGCGTTGGCTCGTCACACCGAAGACCCGGTTCGAATCCCCACATGGGTAAAATGTGTGAAGCCCATTTCTCGTGTCCCCCGCCGTGATATTGCTGGAATATTGCTAAAAGCGGCGTAAAACGAAACTCAGTCAGTCAGTCATTTACACCAAGTTATTCTTAAGTTGTTCGAAAATAAGCTGTTTCTTTCGAAAACGTGGAGATATATATCCGAACATCAATCAAAACAGAACCCCGGAGGCGGTTACCTAAAGTAGAATGTTCATGAGTGTTTCGTGTCAAAGTTACTTTATGTTATTTATGTTTTATTTCGTGTTATTTAGGAACAATCTACGAGTCCGCTTCACCCCTGACTGATCCAGTAACATCAGTCACAAGCGTCCACAGTACTCATGGTAGTCGCGTGCAAGTTAAACTAATGTCTATCTCCTATTTAAGCATTACACATTTTATTGATGCTAGTTACATATGTACACCCATGTCGACGTTAGCCATTTAGCAGTAAGTATCTGACAGTGCTATATGTAGCATTCATCTGACATATCTTACCCACGCGATGTAGTTTTTATGTCTGCAAGATGTCTGAAACGTACTGTGAAGTACAGTTGTTGAAGTATTCAAAATGCAAATGTATGTTTCGTCATCAGATATGAATACAGACTTCTCAGGTTCTGCCTCTGAGTCGACTTCATCACTGACTGATTCACCAACAACGTTGGGAATATCTACATCAAGAAAGACGACTCCAGACACACACAGCAATAACCAAGGTACCACGGCCGGTTAAACTTACGCTTGTCAGCGAGTCACATGTGTATTTGGTGAAGCAATCAATAATCAATGTTATTTTAATATAATTAATCCCCGTTATGAGCTTGCTCCAATTTGTTTGCACATGTATTTGGCAGAGTATAAATACGAAGAATGAGAGATCGATTGTGCATAACGATGTACTAGATACAGTAAATAAGATCAGTATATACGATATTACAACATTACAATGAATATAATAATCAACCTGATGTCACATCGACAATATTTCAGCCATATATATAATACATATGGTCATAGGTCATAGCATAGCTTCTCTATAGACTTAGCATGTCTTTATGGTTTTCTTTAAATGATTGAAACATAAAACTGCTGTTTATGTACATATCAGTATGCATCTGAGCACCGTATATACCGTCAAGCATTCCATACAACTACCAGTAATTATAGTGACGATGGAAACCCTACTGGAGTTCTGAAGTCACCTTGATCCCCAGAGACATGGTCTAGCTTTGACTGACTGCGTTTTGAACAGTTATACATAATATCGCTGCGTATGAATAGATATACAATAAAACCCGTTTAATAATAACATTGTATTTGTGATTTCACATATTTGTTCAAACCTGATTTCGCAACTATAGAAACAGAACTTACTCAATTATACCTTTGCCATTTTCAATGACCGAATTTTGCCCAGTTCTTGTTTTCATTTCAAGATGACATCATATACATCTCGGCTGGTGCAGGAGGTGGCGCCGTCATCCTCACTATCGTCGTTACGTGTGTCTGTTGTGTTAGGAGGAGAAGAAGGAGGAAAGCCAAACAAAGTAACTGAACCTCTTTTATTGACGGACGTTACACGTTACAATCATTTAGCATCATGCGAAGTCATTTCATTATCGCTCTTTAAAATTCATTACAATATAACGGTTATATGACATGTACAGTTTTATGAAGGTCAGCATTATACAACTGTTAATTGGTTATTCAAGCTTTTAATACAGTCGCATTATTATTAAAACATATCTCAGGAAAACTGATATGTCAAGACTGATACAATAAACAAAACTCATGGATGATCAATTCTGTTAACAGCTGTCAACGACGCAGACAATGGTGCCGAGGTACCGGAAACAGCAACAAATGCAACGTAAGTAAAGCGTCAGTCGTCTCACTGTACGTGTGACATGTCAGGTTTTAAATTTCACCACTAATGGCTATATGATCGTTCTTTAGGTAACAACCTCAAGTAAAGAGTATGTTATACCAAATGAAATGTTTCATTCATTGCAGTGGTTTGAAAATGCGAGTTAACACAGCTGGTCAGAAGACAATAGTTAACTCTTCCATTCAGAACTGTTGCGAAACGCTACCTGCCAATGAAACGTTGTTGGGGACATTTATAAATATTAGTGTCTGGCATAATAAGTACAAGTTGCATCTCTTCTTAATGTTTACACTGATTTTCCTTACCCCACAAACGAGTTTTTAGTGGCATAATATAGTGAATTGATCGTCAGCTCTGTATAACTTTGTTGTTTCAACAACCCTGAACAGAGATGATTCACAAGAATCATTATTCCAGAATCCGGAAAGACATAATATTGATTCGGGCTGCTGGTGATGCCCAACGACAATTAAGTTCATGACATACGAAGTCATTCACTTCATCAATTATGTCGCATCTAGTGTTGAAAACTGAAACTCAAAATAGGGAAACTATCACTGGGCTAAATTGTACAATTCACATGTCACATGTAATAATTGGTTATCATTGTATATATTAATATATTCCAGTGTTGAAACCCCGCAACCATCAATAACTTTTGAAAGAAAAATAAATGAAATTGTTGTTCTTTTAGAAACCATAATGTACCCCTAAACAACATGGGACATTTAACAAGTAAGTGTTTACAGTTGTCGTCTCCTGCCCTTTACCACCAATCTGCTGGTATACTCGAGTGGTGATCATGGAGTGTTGCCTGGTCTGGGAGGTTCAGTAATTGCAGTGAGAATATGGCGTGTTAGTTGTATATTCTTACTTAACGGAACACCATGATTATATGTTCAACCGAACATACGAAATAGTAAAAAGAATTATTTGTACCCCATGATACAAATGTATTTGCACGACAATCAGTTAAGACAACAGGGCAGATCCTAATAACAGTGTAGAAATTTTGGACCATAACATAATGTGTTCGAACATTGAATTCAGTAGGGTTATGCCTTTTCTCTTAAGATGTGTACGCGCTGGTACACAGAACCATGGAGGGTGAGCCAGAGCATTCTGCTGTGGAGACCGACGATGAGGCAACAACACAGCAGTCGGTTGGAGACGGTGTTGTCAACGTTGGTGATCCATACGCCGTACCACACAAGGCACCTCAACGCCAACCTGCTGTAGGTGGTGTTGTAAACGCCGATGATCTATACGCCGTACCAGACAAGACTCCTAAACATCATCCTGCTGTAGACGGTGTTGTAAACGTTGCCGATCTGTATGCTGTACCAAACAAGTCCGGAAACACGGAGGAAATATGCAAATTATGTTTGACGTATGGAGTATGGGTACTGTTTCTCGGTGGAATACGGTACTGTTTGACCAGGATTTGTTTGTTATACGCTCAATATAGCTCGGGTTGGTCTTGGTCGGTGACAAGTTTCATTTGGCAACTGAGATGTTGAGTGGCCAGGCTCGGTAACAGGAACGCTGGGTAAGCCTAGTAGTTAAAGCGTTCGCTCGTCACGCCGAAGACCCGGGTTCGATGACCCACACGGGTATAATGTGTGAAGCCCATTTCTTGTGTCCCCCCGAGGTGATATTGCTGGAATATTGCTGACAAGGCAGCGTAAAACCAAACTCACTCTCTCGGTGCCATGGATGATAATGTCGTATACAGATCGCGCAGGTCGATGTTTTGCATGGCAATCACTGGAATGTTTGGTCCATTCTAGATTATTTAAGACCTTCCCGTAAAGCGGGAATGGGTGCCTAAGTGAGGCATTTTAGGAACAAACCTTGACCTGGCTGATTGTGCATCATTATAGCTGAGGTGCGTAAAAAGGTTGTCATAACATTAACCATTGGTCGAGTGTCAGACTCGGCTATCTCTAGGTTGCTATTCCTGACTAACATTTTGTTTGTGCGAAATGTGGTAGAAAGAAAATGGACTGAATGTGTATATATGGTAAAACATATTGGTGTTGCAGATAGTGTAGAAATCAACAGTGAGTATAGTGAAATCTAAATGGACGAAGAGTCACTGTTTTGGAGCAGCCAGTGTGTCGGACACTTAATGAAACCCTCGCTTACCCAAGGGACTGCAAACGGAGGGACTCAGGAATCGTGGGCTTGGTGGATCATAACTGCGCTCCGTCCAGACACGGTCTGTCGACCCTCGGTTCGACCCACTCACTCTACAGTCGGGTTTGAACTGTTTTTCAGCAACCCATGCGTGTCGTAAGAGGCGATTAACGGGATAGGGTGGTAGCGCTCGCTGACTTGGTTGACATATGTCAGCCCGTCGTTACTGCGTAGATGGATGTTCATGATTTTGGTCTCTCAATTGTCCGGTCTTGACTCGATTATTTACAGGCTCTGGAATAATGTTGAGCGCGTCGACAAACAACGAGCAAACACTCATTTACTTAACCCCTAAATATCGTGCCCAATATCCAATCATTGCTGACTGGGGCGTAAGCCATTTTCTTTTGTGGGGCTGTGGGGCTGTGGTGCTGTGGGGCTGTGGAGTAGCCAAGTGGTACCCGAAACTCGGGTTCGATTACCCGCATGTGTAATGCCCATTTCTGGTAGCCCAGGCCGTGATATTGCCGGAATATTGCTAAAAGCTGCGTAGAACTAAACTCACTCACCCTTGTCTGTCTTTGACAAATATGTCAGATCTGTTGTATATATAGATGATAAATATGTCAGATATGTTGTATATATAGATGACAAATATGTCAGATCTGTTGTATATATAGATGACAAATACGTCAGATCTGTTGTATATATAGATGACAAATATGTCAGATCTGTTGTATATATAGTTGACAAATTTATTTTCCCTTTTTCTGGTTTGATCTTTTTTAGAGTAGTCAAACATATATCTTTATATATCGTTGCTTCTGTTTTACGACACTTGTCATATTGGGTGTCTCGTCAGACACATTTTATTAATATTATTCAACACTTATGCTCTTACCAACAAATGCATATTCGTTTTGATGTTATGACTATGAGTATTTCACCAGCCAGTTTGGACAACGACTTTGCACGCTTCCTTCAGGTAACATTGCTTTCAATCGTATCTGGAATGTCAAACTACAGGAAAACTACATATGATTCAATGTTTCGTCATCCAATATAAACAAAGAATATGTTATCAACCAGGAAAATCGCCATAGAATATTTGATCCGAAACAAATGTGGAAGCTGATATAACAGGAAATATATCAATACAGCTGTGTGTGTTCAGTGGAGTTGTTCGCCTCAGTGTGTCTCGGGGAACACAACTCAATTGCTGAATGATATAGAATTCATACATAGTGAATTGTGAATTTCATTTGTAGCATTCATCTGTTATCAGCAAGGCGGTTTGCACTGCTTCCTCGGTACGATTGTGTTTCTGACAGACATTCGAGATATTACACACGATGTGCACAGTTTCTAAGGGAATTATTATAAATGTGATAGCGACAATCTGTATTTCACATTAGCAACACTGCATAACTTTGATCATGTATGTCAACATGTGTTAATGTCAAGATCTCTTCTCAAAGAAGTGTATAAACAGTTAGGATAAAGGTCCCCTCTATGATGTTGTCAAACATCATGTACATAGGTGATACTCTTACAATGTATATATTTTCAATGTAAAATGTACATTTTCCCACTACTGATTTATGAACATTTTTCACAAATAAATTGCAGTTGTGTTTCACTAATCATAAGTGTTTGATGGGAAAAATAAAACAACATGTTCATGTTGTCCCACCTGTAACATCAACGATTACTTTGATGGATATGAGTTCCACTGGCATGGGCCCGGGTTATTGTTATAGTCACGATATGGCTGCAATATTGCCGATGTGACGATGTGCTTGCAATATTGCCGATGTGACGATGTGCGCCGATGTGACGATGTGCCTGCAATATTGCCGATGTGACAATGTGCTTGCAATATTGCCGATGTGACGATGTGCCTGCAATATTGCCGATCTCATCTCACTCACTCACTCCACTGGCATGTAGTAGCACTTCCATATCTGCTTTCAGCAATGAATAAAGTACACCTAAGCTACAAGTGTATGTATTAATTTAATTTGCACAAAATGATACTGATGTAAGAACACTTTAGAGAGTGTGACATCAATTAGGAGTTAAACGGAAGGAATAATATATTTCAGCTCCTCCAACCTTGTTAAAGGTCACATGCAACCAAAAAATCAAAACTAATTAAAACACAGTTATCACTTATTCATGACCTATAATATAAATTGCTGATTATGAAAAACATATAAACAAAATCATAAGCGTACAATCGCAAATCAAAAGTGCAATATTTTGTACTTGTGTTTACTTCCCAAGAAACGAAGCAGCCGGGATACCGAGCCCAGTCAGAGCGGGTGGGTGAGCACTCAAGTGTAACGGCTGGTTCATTTGCATGTGTCCTCACGGCTCATTATGTGTGTATATATAGAGATCTTGGGTTTTGTAAATACATGCTCATTTGTTGTGTATAACATTTTGCAATCAACAGACATCATAACATGTCATGTGTACAAGGTACCACACCTGCCTGTCTGTGTAATTATGTAATGTGACAGAGACAGAACTCGGGCCATAAATCAATGCGGTTTGTTTATGGTGTATAGCCTGATAGGTGTTAAGTTCAAATTCCATGTGGTCAGTGATCGAAGATGTGTATTAAATATTGTCATTAGCAGACAGGCAGGCAGACACATAGGTGTCAATAAAACAGACATTGAGTTTTGTCTGTGACAACGACATATCTATATCACAGTTAGAAATTCTGTCAAGGCTAAATAATGACATTGGTTTTAAGTATCGAACTGAGAAAGTGACTCGGTAAGAAGAACGTTTGGTGAAATAGACAAATGAAATTATATAAACAGTTAAATCGGTAATCTACTGTCATAACATATAAAAAGCTCGCGCATGTGAAATATCAACAAAACATTACAAAAACAGCTCACACCAAAGCCTTCACCGAGTATTCACCGGACATCCCGCTTCCAAGCTGCGCGAACCTATTTCACTGCGCATGTGCTATAAGCGCAGTCTAGCGCAGCGCAGCCCAGCTGTTGAAACCACTTTTCACAAAATTAGTGAATCGTTTGAACTCCGATTTCACGCGGGTTTTTTTCATGGCGTTACTTTTCAACTTTATAAGTTGAATTTACATTTTTGATGATTTGTTTCGGTAAGTCCATACCGAAAGGTATCAGAATCTGCAAAGTTGTGTCTTACATTGCATGTGACCTTTAAAGAAATTGTGTCGTCAATGTCCATTCCATTTGTACATATAATATGTAGACACTGATACAATAATTTTATAGGATAACATCTGTATAGGATAACATCTGTCTGACTTGCCAGCAAGAGTCTGGAACTGACAGGACACGATAAATGTTTGAAGAACAAATTGAGATGACACCTTACTTCGAAGTTATATCACGAACTGAATCCTCCTCCATCAGGGTCATGCACCTAGACGTTAAGTGCCATGGAGTATGAATATTAGCTTGTTGTAGAAATATGTTATTGTGTTCTCCCCTTGTGAGTTCCATGTGTTTTCAAAGCATACTGGTCAAGTGAGTAAAGCTGGGACTACGAAGAAGAGACAACTCTGTTCTGTTTTATTCATGTGTGGGACAGAGAGGGGTACCTCGATACATCCAAGGTATTGCAACTGTTGACCATCAGCAAACTCTACTTGAAGATCCGGGTTAGAATATTGACCTTCAGTAACCCATGCATGTCGTAAGGTGCGACGAACGAGACCAGGGGGTCAGACATCGGTTCCCAATTGCGCAGATCGATGCTCATGCTGTTGATGACTGGTCTGTCTGGTCCAGACTCGATTATTTACAGGCCGCTGCCATATAGCTGGAATATTGCTGAGCGCGGCCTTAACCTAAACTCACTCACTAACTACTTGAAGGATAGATTACATTTGCTCTACTGGTACCATCCTCGATAATCTCCAGGGTATATGTAAATTTATTGCAAGTTTCTCTTGTAGACCTTTTGGGCGGTGGGGTAGCCTAGTGGTTAAAGCGTTGGCTTGTCACGCCGAAGACCCGGGTTCGAATCCCCACATGGGTACAATGGGTGAAGCCAATTTCTGGTGTCCCCCCGCCTTGATGTTGCTGGAATATTGCTAAAAGCGGTGTAAAACCAAACTCAGTCAGTCAGTCAGTATTGTAGACCTTTGGCGGCTTGTGCATTTATATTTTATCAACATATTCTTTGTATGTAAGAGAGAGACATACATAAACAAATTCTTTCTTTTATATAATTTAGGAGATATAATTTTACAAATTGACAATGACATACTGTAATTTACTTACATTCTTTATAATCTATACGATATTAGCGTTTTTTCCGATACATTTCTAGTGTATACTGAATATTTCAAGGAAAGTACTATTAAGCTAGTCTGTGACTAACATAGAGCACATTCATAGCTTGGCACTTTGTTTCATCTAGATTTAATGCAAAAAAACATACGTTATCATACGAACATACATATAAAAATTGCATAATACAGATTCCTTGTATAGACATAAAACAAAGAGTCATGTGATAGGGCGTCATCAAATTTCCCGAACAGAACGTTCGGCACCTCAACTGTTCAATATATAGGCTGATCATTTGTTATCTGTGACCAATCGTATCACAGAGGAAGGGACAGGTGATGGGCCGTGGGCGAAATTTCTGAAGATCACGTTTGGTCACTCAGCAGCTGGATAGAGATTGATTATTGGCTATGCCGTTGACAGTCGATATGCTGGGTTTCGGCTTCATCAACGCAAGCTATCATGTAATAGTTCGTGTATTGCAAACAACCATAATCGTAACGATCTATGAAATATACACATAAGGCAAATAGGAGAAGATAGATCTCAGAGATCGAAAACACATTTTAGTGTTTTTCGATAAGTAAAACAAAGTGATTGAAATCCAACCATTGAGTAGAGATAGTATTTATTTTCATCTACATTTTACACACACAACTAGTACATAAAACATAATGGTTTGCTGTACATGTAAATATAATCTTCACCTTGATACGAACGAATTTCCTAATTAAAGTACACGTATTATAGAATTAAAAAAGTGACACGATACTGAATTATTACAATGTATAAACTTGCAGTTTAATCCCCCCAAATATTTATGAAGATGGGCGTGCCTATATTTATATTGAATGTAAACGAGGTTCATAAGATTACAGACGTGCATGTATGCATTAGCATTACAAAGGGGGGCGTGACTCCATAAAGCAGGTTGTCCAATGATATAACATCGCATCTGTTTATTTTACACTTGTCACGAGACAAACCTTTCAACAAGGGCGTAACTACATATGCATTCTACCGGAGGCTGTTATTTCAAGGTCGAAAGAGGTGTTCAATTATCTCATTACTGTAATCTGATTGAATGATTATACGCATGTGTATCGATACCGTAACTGATATACTATCGTGCTTTTATTGACGATGGATTAATAGAGACTGAGTTCATTGATACACGTGATAATTACAGCGGATCAGATAATTACATAGATCAAATACAAAAGTTTTAAAACAATGCTCATGTAAATTGCATAAAAACCGACAATTCAAATAAACATGAAACTTTCAACAGCTTCAAAAAAAATGCTTGCAATACCTATGTATGGTTTACATGTAATAACTTAAGATAATACTTTTTGAATTACCAACTTACTGTGTTTTGTAACAAACGTAGTAAATGATGACATTGTTGTAATAACACTGACATGTATATATATTCAATGCAAAGACGCGAGTTATCACTTTATATTCCATTAGGTAACATTATCAACTTTAGATTATGAAAAATATATAGTTATAATTTAGAAAGCTTTAAATTAGTAACTTATGTCTAATCTATTCGAGCTTGGATATATAATTATTTGTGTTTACGATTCGTTATAAAACATGACAACGCAATAATACCTAGAAAATAATTCAAACTATTCTATTGTGTTTGAATTTTTTTGTATGTCCTTGAAATTTCGCATATTGTTTCCTATTTTTTAGGCAGTTGAAGAAAATATAATCTTCAATAACCTTTAAACCATTACATCTAATTCAATCAATGTGCGTAAGAAGCATTTTAGTATCCGCTCCCAATGAAGAGTGCCAGACACACAAAACATCTCATAATCCCCTTTCTCGCCGACTTGTGTTCATTTGCCAAACGCTGTATAAGCCTACGATAATGATTAGCAATTGCTATCAAAACACTTTAAATACTTCTTCTGATTAACACTTAAGATAGCAACTCTCGTACGAAAAGATAATATTTTATCAGTACTACTAAATTGGTTGAAATAATAGCTACAGTGCGATTTTAAAAAGTAGGACACACATGTGCATCTCTCGCTCAATAAAAGGTGCTTTCTCACATGCGCGGCTCTCGCTGTGAGAAGATAATAAATGTGTCGCATATGTGCGGCTCTCGGCTTTCATGAGTTAATGATAGTTATTATGGGTCACAATATTTAAAGTTTTGAGTGTGGGTTGCGGCTCACATCTTGCATCATTTATGTTCAATGGCAATATTATTTTTTAGCGGTACACCTTTTGAGATAGCGCTCCAAAGTTGCCTCCCTTGGCTTTTTCGTTTTGTTTTGTCATGCCGCATGTTCAACATGATTCGTGAATGTTCTGAGTGGATAAAGAATGTTCTAGACACTGTCAGTATATATAAAGGCTGATTGTTGGGTTGACACATACGGAATTACACGGGACTTTTCATATCACTGGAGTTGTGTACATCTTTCTGCCGTCACCTGCTTACCGTCGTCGTCTCTCTGTCAACATCGTCAAGACCGATTGTCTACTGACTTAGGAAGCTACCTTGAATTAGAATATCTGCTCTCACTGTAAATGACAAGACTCTGGTGATTTAATATCTCATATTTGTGACCCATTACTTTAGATTTGTGACTCAATTGCATTGTACTAAATATCTGTATTGTCATTCATTGTAGCTTGCTCATTGTTTGCTCAATATATTATTGAATATTTTAGACTTGTCTGTGTTATATTTTGCTGGTTCAAAGGGGACTCTTAAACCTTTTTCTCAGGGCAATTATTAACCGTAACAAGGGTATAGTGGAGGGCGATCGTAACGTATACCCTGGAGATTATCGAGGATGTACTGGTACATGTAGGTCGGATATGTGATGCTGGTGGAAGGCTTGGCCGATAGTGGACACAAGGGCTCCCGTGTCAAGTAAGACTTGTGCACACACTCGATCTCCGTTCACAACTTCCTCAACTTCACTGGCACTCCAAACTTATCTTTTATGCACTTGCTCATCAGTAGTTTGAACTCATACATAGTTCCCTAGGCTGTGAGGAAAATGCCTCTGATCAACAGGAAGAAGATGCGTGACCCAGCTGCCTACTGCAACTTGGATGTCATCAGAAGCCTTATCCTGAGTTTTGATGGCAACGTGGAACATGTTTCAGTCCCATAGGACCTATTCTTGACGTTATCACCTCGCCAGAGAGGATTCGACCTTATTGGTTTACCATTATGCTGAGGTCTCTTGGAAGACCGTGTAGTTGCAACCTGGATTTTTGATACATGGTCTGTATCTGCCTGGCTGTAGTGGGGGTCCTCATTTGAATTAGAACTACGTCCTCCAACGCCATTCCCTTGTGGTCCTACCTTGGTTCCCCTCGAGAGTAGTTGCTAGCATATCCCATCACTCAATAATGAAACCAGATTATATACTCAGCAAAACTTGACCCTGAAAAATTTCGACATTTTTCTTTGTCTGTATTAATGCATTTACAAGTATATTAAACAGTAGTATGCAGTGTGAATGCTTTAATTTCGGGAAACTTTAAGTTCATGTTCAAACGTTGACATTGTAGTCTACAAAGATGAAAAACACGAAACACACTTGTGAAAAGCAAATTTAAGAGGGGAATTTGGTGAATGTTTGCTTACACTGAACACGCACATGGTGTGTGATCTTGAAAAACACACTAAACTTTTGTTTTTAATCTTTGTTTGGAAATGCCACGCCTTTCAAATTCAAAACGTAAACGTGCTGCGGAGAAGTGGGATGATGGTCAGTCTGTTGTCGCTGTTGCAAGAGCCACAATCTATCATCTTTGGATGAGAGTGCATCAAACCGGAACTCTTGCCGACATGCGTGACGTAATTGAAGGAAGATCAAACAACACGATTACGTCATCTTTGGAGCAGATTTGTTACTGCAACTTCTACAAGTAGGGAGATGTCTGGTGGAAAGGTAATGGCACAAATTGTCAGACATCGCTTGTGTGCTGCTGAAACGAAGACCCCTAGACTGACCAATTTTAAAGCCTCTTCAATCAAAGACAGTGGAATTTGGTTGTCTTCGACCGCCCCCGTGGTTAGAGCGTCCGCTCGGAGAGCGGAAGGTCATGGCCGCATCGTACCAAAAGACGGTGAAATATGGTAGTTGCTGATCCCTGCCTGGCCCTCGGCATTAATGGGTATTACAAGGACTGATCGGCTCGGAGTCAGTATAATAAGTGGGGTATTCATACTTAACTGCGGCATGGTATCTAGGTGAGGTAGCACTATAAAACCAGCTTAAGCCTGGGCTAGCACAGGCAACCACATGTGGCAGGGACATACTTTGTATGTCTGAGTGTTAGGATTAGTTTGCGCCAGGTAGCTTTTAAGTATTGTAAATAATCATTAATTCTCTATCTTTATTTCAGCATCCAATAGGCGCTGATATATGCAATGTAAATATGCATTTTAATATATTGCTTTGTTTCAACTCACTACAGTGACTGAAATGAAATAGTTAATAATTCATGTATTTTAAATAAGTTTCTTGATTTCAGCTCATATCAGCGCTGAAAAAGTTCATATAGTTAATCGCTTAGTTTTAGTAGTACAACCAATAGTGTCGACCCAACCGTGACAACACGTTACGATTGGTCCATTCAAACCAGCATGCTTTTTCTATGCCTGAACACCTCGCACCCTGACACAACTGACAAAACTTGTGTGAGAGACAGACGAACATAGGCGTCAACTTAATTTTCATCAGCACACATTATTCCATCGTCTGCTATGGCAGCCAGGCATAAACACGGGCCCCTGTGCCATACATAGGGGTTTATCGTGTACGTTGAAAATCTCCATCCACTTGGAAATAAACAGAACTTACAACCCTGCATTCACTTTGCGTGTCGTCATTGTGACGACAATGAGCACGTCCTCATATGAGTGAGATATTCTTAAGTGCGACGTTAAACCCCATTTCACCTAAACTCACCTCGGGTGGCTTCAGCAACGAATCTCGACTACCAACGGCAGGGCCTGAGTGTACAGACCAGCTAAGTGAACGTCAAGTCTGAATTCCGTGAGTCCGTGAAGTGGACGGATTTGACGTCTTCCTCGGGGTGTGTTTAAAAACGTTTCAAGATCCATGAGGAGACGTTGTGCAGCTTTAAGAGACACTAGTGGAGGCCACAAACCTTACTGAATGCCTCAATCGAATTGTTCTCCACGCTGTGAACTTAAATAAGTAAATAATAATAATAATTATAAATATGCATGATAAATATGCGGACCTCACCTTTCAAATGTCTCGCTTGCATCCCAAGCACGCTGTTGTCAGGCTCCCCATTGTTCTCGGTGCCTTTGGTTGGTAACTCCTGATCTCTTGGTGCAGATCAGGAGAGTGCCAGGGTTCACCACCGGGAGCACATCCCTTCTGACACTCTGGGTAATGCAGAAGGCTGCAGTGATGGGGAGCCTTCGTATTCTCCGGAAAGTTCTTGGTGGGTTCGACTAGGCAGTGTTTCCTGGGTGAAGTCCCATTCGCTGTCTGAGCTGCGTGTAGAGGGGCAAGGGCCCTGAGCTGATGATGAGCCTTACCAACCTGACTGTGCCAGGATCACCCGAACCCTCTCTACTGCATTTTCATCTTAATCTGTAAACCATAATAATAATAATTGTTATGTGCATTTATACCGCGATGGATTCCATACAAAAGTGTATGCTCCATTGGCAGCTGGGTCGACAGTGTTGGCGTCCATAACTAAAATTGCGGAGGGTACCACCATGAACGCTATTGTTGTTAAAGACTTTCAGGGAGAATTGTTTTTTGTTTTCCTTTGATGTCGAAATGTTCAGCGCACAACATACAACTAAAATTGCTTTCTTAAACGTGATTATAAAAACCTACTCCAAAAAATCCCGAGTGTCAAGTTTTTCAGTTTTGCTCAGTATATATTGACATATGAATAAGTAAATCTATGACAATGAACAGCTCACAAGTGTCTGATAATGTACAGGCTACCCTTTCGCGTGGGTCTACTGAACATAGAGATCACCAATCACTGTATCTGCGGGGCAAATATAGAATAACCTGGACGAATGTATTCTTTGATAATCGCATCTGTAGGTGAGTGTGACGGTGCGTGGATTGCTGTAGCCTATTCAGCTCATACACCACTGAAAGTCTACCTTCAAACAGTAACGAATGGTAATAGTTGACACGTATATCTAAAAAGAGGGTTTATGTTTTCTCATTCTGTTCTCTTGGTTTTCTTGGGGTTACTATCTGCAATATAGTGTTGTGATTGTCTGTTTTCATTAAAAAGCATTGTTCCACACCTACACATTCCCATCCCTAAAATTAGTTTCTTCGTTCAAACGCAGAGCACATTCAACATCATGGCAGTGTCATCAAGAGCATGTCTGTTGTATACCGGTTAATTGGGGACTAATTTTGAATTTCTAATGAGGTCCATTGTTTTGAGTCTATTTTTAGATGATGAGTCATTGTATCAGGTTATATTTAGACCATGAGTCATATCAACACCTGATGTTTCTATTTTTAGAAGAGTCTATTTTTAGACCATAAATTATGTTTCTATTTTTAGACTCAGGTGGGTAATATAAGGTCCACCAAACACTTCCCATGTCATTCTCTGCTCAGTCTCTGAAGTCACTACACCTAGTGACTACACATTGTGGATATACTTCATACCAGCGCATTTCTCTGTTATCTCAAAGCGAGCGCCCACTATCGCAGTATCAATTACCCACCCCCTCCTTCTCCCCCCACACACTAACCTCGCCACCTAGCCAATGTGTAATGTGACACCTCCTCAAGCTGATAATCTTAGGTCTGACGTGAAATGAAATTACACGGGTACAGTTTACAGGTTTTATGAAACATTTGTTAAATGCGACATAGATTAGCGTTCATTTACCGTCTGACTAAATATAACTATAACTATAACTATTGAAAATGTGAAATTCAAATGTATACAACGTCCTACCTTCAGTCCTTACATTGTAACAAGGAATACATCGTAACACAGATTAAGATTTTCATCATCATCAGATTGAACCAGTGTTGGGGATAAAGACTATTCTAGTGTACATGAAGTCAAGTTACCTCTGTTCATCATATCCATATGAATGACAGCAGGCAATAACACATCCATAGGTACCAATTCATGATGTTTTGTTGGGTATGACAAGACACTCATTCATGTGGAGACAACAGATTGATTCACACTGTTCTCCAACTATGAAAAAGACATTTGCCCACCCATGACTCCGATGTAAACACAAAATACATATAACAAACATTTTCCTATGACAGTACTCAACCATGCATGCACAAGCGTAAAACTAGGTCAAAAATAAAATGTTGAAACTCATAGCAAAATCACACACAGCATGCTTCTCACCAAAATATCCCATGTAGAACGAATCACCATGAACCTACTTTAAAATCCCACATAACCATATGAATAAACACAGCCCGATACACACACAGAATACAACCTATAGAAAGTTGATTACACATTACTCCCATATGCCATGGATCTTTAAATCCCAACACAATAAACACAGTCCAATCATAGTCAAAACCTTTTCCTAGGTTCATCGTTTTTCTAAACTATAGCTTGCATAAAACCAAATTTAGTGTGTAGGTGTACTCGCATAGTCAACATGCAGTTGTGTACTCACAATACTTTGACAGTCGTCAACAACGTTATTCACACAATAAGTTCATATGCAAAAATACTCACAAATTAGAATATAGAATGATCCATCACATAAATTCCACACACTGTGCTGTTTTAAACAGTCATGAAACCGCCAGAATACCTAAACACGCACAGCACAACGTACTGGCTGCACATGGCGGTGAACAAAGAGCATTAAAGCTTGGTGCCAACAGCCCCGACCTAAAACCGGTTCTGTCAAACCGGATCGCAAACGGTTCTATCAAACCGGTTCGCAAACGGTTCTGACTCAAAATGGCTACATGTCCAAAACGGCTACATGTCCAAAACGCTTATATATACACATATATTTATATACCGTAGATGCCAGTTTTTCGGTGTGTTATAAAACACTGAGTGTTGAAGTTGATCATTAATAGGTGAATGTCCATGTCAGATATTTCCTGGATTAAGTGCATGCAAACTGAAGCCAACAAGGAAACTATTGACGTAGGATTTGACAACCTTTCATTTATATTAATTTGTTGTATATGAATTAAGGAAGGTTTTAGCTACGCTTATTTTCATTACAGACAGGGCAAGTGGACAGTTTCTCAACACGTGTCTGGCTGTCATGGTGTACTTGGTGTTAAGTGGCGGCATGATTTAGTAAGTGTTGATATGTTTGCGCTCTATGTGCAGTCTGTCCATTAGAAACCGAATTCAATCCCAGTTGGTGACATATTTTCGTGAGTGAGTTAACTCAGAGCACTTAGTTCACGGCGTTTAGGAAGAAAGCGCAAACACAGGTCTTAATTGGATGTTCGACACATTGGTTTAACTTGGTCAAACCAAACCACCTCAGGACGAACCTAGGCTTGGGACTAGGGTTCATTGGTGTGTGGCACCAGAACAATTGGATCTCCCAGGACTCCGCAGAGATCTAGTAGAGGAATGGAATGCGGATGCAGTTTTCTATAGCCAAAAACGAATCGGGCACTCCGCTCTCTGTAAGTTATGTATTTCATGCCTACAGTAAATGTTTACACTATAAGTGGTTAATGTTATAAGTTTGCAGTTATGTTAGTGAAAGAGCTCGAGCTGTATCAGAAATCATATGTATGTAATGAAAAGGTCATATGACTGTAAGTCAAAAGATCGATCACAGATAGTTGTGTTTAACTCAATGGTCTATCTGACACGAGGCGTTTTAAGCTGGCTGTGAAATAGAACCAGTCACTGCCTTCATCTTTCATAAATACGATAAGTATTTTGTTGAAAAAGAACAGATGTTCATTAGACTTTTGAAACCTAAGCTTATTTCAAAAGTATTATTTTCAAAACTTCCCTTAGTAGTTTATATTCCCAATTTATTTGTGGACGAAACCATAATGTATTTATTTTTGCCGCTATATGACGAGGACACCAATACTGTCATAGTCCGTCGCCTATCACTATTGTAAAGAAAATGAGCATTGTACTGGTGTACCCTGACGAACCAGGTTAGAATTCAGCAGCCCATTCTTGTCGTAACTTCCAAGAAGTCGCTACTCGGCTTGTCCCGGTATAACACGAGTTGGACTCCAATGGGTTGATGCATGTTTTCGTGGACGAGTCACGTAGATTAACACATGTATAGATGGTCTGTTTATACATATTTATATATGTTGCAGGTTGCCGCTGCACAGCTTGATTGCATTTCTGTACAGCGTTATAGAACTGAGTTTGGCGAAGTCTGCACCGTGACACTAACTTCCTTTCACATGCATATTTGTATGCTGCATGGTGGTGGCTGAACGGGAAGACGGAGGAAGTTCTGAACCTGATGTTAATAAAATGCTTATAAATAGCAAGGTTGTGTTCGCCTTACTCTCCACGATTAAAAAAATTTCTGCTGAAAATAGTTTTCTATATTGTATTAAGTTATACAATCTTTATTCTGTTCCTGTCGATCTTCAATATGCTCAATTTAGAAGCATTTTCTCGTCACGCCGAATTTAATACATTCAGATTCAATGATCCTTGAACATTACTTAACACGAAATTCAATCCTGGAGTTATTTCGATGAGTTAAAATGCATCAAATGAATTAATCCTCTCAATGCTACTGTCGAACCCATTCGACAGGAGAGCAGCATAATGACATTCCCAAATAAAACTTGCAATAATTATTCAACAAGTCGGATTTACGTGACATTTGAATTATGTATTGAATGAATTAATTCTCAGCTTTCTAAATATATAATCTTCAATTAGTTTATGTATCTTAAAACGAAACGCCCGGGAACTAAAGGTTTGTTCGGCAAAATTCTCGGCACACCCCCGAAAATAACGGCCTTTTTTTACTTCAGGCACATCACGTCGAGTAGTACCCTGTCTAATATTTTCTTTATTATGAAACATTTTTTTTATAGTTTGATCAATAATTTTGTTCTTTGGTGAAGAGAAAACACTGAAGTTTCCCATTTCCTAAATATTAGTAACTTTCGGTTTAATTATTTATAAACAAAAACAATCTCAATGTTACATCACCGATTGGACGAATAGGAACGATCATGGCAACGGCGGTAAACAAACAACTCCACATGCATCGTGATACCGAATAAAATTGTGCCATCCTTTTGATAGATCCACCTATTTTCGCGGGAATTAATTACATGGTCTGATTGGGTAAATGGTATTGTCTTTGTAACAAAATTATCATATTTATCAAGTTTATAAAGATACACATCACTGAAAGACAGTCATTGAACCTTGGTTATTTACACTTTGCTAATGCATTGATATATCTTTAGTGCCTCTACCCATGCTATTTGGGAGAGAAAAATACCAATCATATTATTTATAATAATTAACATATGAAAATATATGAAAATGTTTAAAGTTGTAACCAGCTGTGTAATATTAACCATAACATCAGTATTCACCAAGGATCTTAATTTATTGAATAAAGTTAGATATGTAATTCAAATTGTTCTGAAGTGAGACTATAAACCTCGCATGCACGTAATATGAACACACAATTTATTAAATCATCTCTTATTTCACATGAAACTACAATTGATACTATATTTTAGTATATGATATAATATATATGCGTCATGCATCATATTTTGTCACAATAAGAAAAGCATGAATGTTATTTCGAAACCCAGATTTCGTCACGCCTATTTCCGCGCACCTGTTGTTGATACCGATGTTTGTCAACGTTGTTGCGTCGAACAAAGTGAAAAAAACCTAACAAACTAGCATCAACATGCCTCAAAATTATATGTTTCTTATCTGCATATTCAGTGTAGAATATAGTGGTGGTAAATGTTCAGATAAAAGATACTGAGAAACTTGCATGTGATCGATTACTGTTTCCGGGTCACGGGAGCATACACGGTCAAACTGGTTCCGTGATATGCCAATTATATAGTCAAAAACACAATGTTTTGTTCCTGTAAGCTATGATTAATCATTCTAATTAGTGATTTGTGGTAAATTTGGGTTTGCCAGACGAAATATCTCCAAATTTACTGTTAGTATTCGATATTCAGTATTTCAAGATTTTTACCAGACAACCCCTGTCTGTGACATCACATCCGGTGACCTTTGCACTTACCAGAAAACAAGTTAGATTTCGCGATCTTAATTCATGTTTCTCTCTTGTCATGTTAAGCTGAAAATGATAAATGAAGCACTTGTAGAATGAGAAATTCTTCAACTTTCGACAGGGCTTATACATGTTAGTCCTGTAAACTTTGTTCTTATCAAAATAGCAACATTTTATGTTGGGGTTGGACGAAGCGTGCCATGTTTGATTTTCGAACATGTAACACGATGCAACTGTGGTTTTCTGTGGGCTTGTGTTGAAAATAACGAACCATAACACTTGAAATTAGGACTCGTGAATATTCATAAATCATATATTTTTGTCTGCAATTTTCATGACATGACACGTTGGAATAAACGTAATAGTGCCATTTGAATACAATATGTGATGATATCGAAAATAAGATTTGTTTACGACGAACGTTTTCGATTATTTTTTTTCAGAAATGTTTTTTATTTTGTAGTCGCGCTGATAATTTCCGATACAAATATACGATTTTAAAGTCACTGCATATAATTATGAGATATCGGAAATAAGAATATTGAAATCGGTTTGCGCTAATTTAACGATTTATTCAGGTTCCTTATATGAAACGCATTCCACTGTCAATGAAGTAATTCAGGTAAATTCAGGAAATTGGCATTATCGTCATTAACCTCTGTATGTTTGAAATTATCAGGATATTTTTAGATAATAATGTTCGTTTTTCTATCTAGCATTAATGTGCCAAATAGTTTTTCAGTTGTCCCTTAATTTATGACACACCGACTGTTTGAAATCACCCATCCGCTTTACAACGCCTTATGTTGAAATTAATTCAGGAGGCTAAAGGTTAAATTACCATCGAGATATCAAGGACAGATTCACAAGTCGCAGTATTGAGTGTTGTATTGTCTGTACCTCTGTATCAATACATATGACACTGTTGGAATAAAAAGAAATATTAAGCAGGTTCATTTGGTCAGATTGTCTTAGTGTGCTATTCAAGCATAACATGAGGGTGATCCTGTGCATAGAGCCCAGATAAAGGTGAAGATAAGCAGCGTTGGTCACGGGTAGTTCTTGGTGACCGTGCTTGGCAGCTGGAACATTAATGGTCTGAGAGATAAGGTTGATGACATCGATTTCTTGAAATAACTGCGCAGTTTTAACATAATATGTTTATTTGAAACATTTGTGGAAAGCATGAATTATAATTGGCTTGAAGGTTATGATATATTTTATGGCCCTGCAATCAAGCTATCAGACTATGGCAGACATTCCGGTGGTGTTTGTATATGTATCCACCGTGGTCTTAGAAACTTATGCGAACAAATAACAACTGATCTCGATAACTTTCTATGTCTCAAACTTGCTAAGGAATTGTTTTCTCTAGATAAAGACGTCAACCTGATATGTACATACATCCCTCCAACAGGATCAACTTACTATAAACATAAGACTTATAACGGTAATATTGAACAACTAGAACAATATCTTTTTAGATAACCTTTCAAGGCATGACTGAGTGTCATACTCTTATTTGTGGCGACTTCAACGCACGTACAGGTAAAGAAAATAACCGACTTTGTCTAATGATGATGATGTGAATAATGTATTTCATGCTGTTGATGATGACGACTACCTCCTGTTGAAGATCGTAATTCCCATGATAATGTTATTAACGGTTTTGGTAGATTGTTGTTAGACTTTATGTTATGCCTTCAAACTGTTCATAGTGAATGGTAGAGTACACGGAGACGAACAAGGCGAATATACATACAATGGCCAGCAGGGTTCCAGTGTCAACGATTATTTTGTTTGCTCACCTGACTTTTTCCCATTTATACATATGTTAAATGTTGGTGAAAGGGTGGAATCTGATCATTTACCGTTGGAATTGACTTGCCAATTAGCAGATATGATAAATATAGTGACAGTTGTACAGATGTCTATTCTAAAGAAAAGATATATCTGGAACGAGTATTTTAGTAAAACATATTTAGATAATTTGCAGAGTAATATTACTTCTTGTTACGAACATCTCCTGTCAAAACTTGATTGATTGTGATCTGAACGGTGCTTTAGATGATTTTGTCCACGTTATACTAGAATCAGCAGAATGTATGAAGAAAACATTTAAGTCAAACAAACAGAGCAGTAAGTCAACAGTAGATAAAGACTGCAGGACTGCTAGACGAGATGCTCGCAAAGCACTGAGAAGCTTTCGGTTTAGACGCACTGAGAGTAACAGACAATATTTTTGCAAAATGAGAAATAGATACAAAAAACTTCATGTAGAATATATAAAAGGTAGGTTGCGTAATCAAAACCTAAGAAGACTTAATGAGTGTGTCCATAATCCCGCTAAATTTTGGAAACAAATCCGTTCCTTTAGAAATCGAACTAATCCTAAAATAAATATTTCCAAACCTGAGTGGATGATTCATTTTAAGAGAGTGTTCTCAAATGATTCTATTCTTCAGAACGATAACATTGTTTTTGATGATGATGTTCGTGATCTCAATCTTGATATGGAATATGAAAGTATCGATAAATTGATTTTAGAAACACAAATTTCTGATGATGAAATTAAAATGCGATTACTCATTTAAAAGAGTGGTAAAGGCAGCTGGACCTGACAGCGTTGTGATTGAAATGATAAAATGTTCTCAGGTCGAGTTAATGCCCTCCCTACGGAAATGTTTCAATTCTATATTTGACAAAGGTGTATTTCCAGATAACTGGTCTCGTTCAATTATTGTTCCATTTCATAAAAAGGGAGCTTTAGACAACCCGGATAACTATAGAGGTATATCGTTAATGAGTATTTTAGGCAAGGTATTTACAACCATATTAAATAACAGAATTTCAAATTGGTCAAATATGAGAAACCTGATTCCCGAATGCCAAGCCGGTTTTAGGAAAGAATATTCAACTGCAGATCATATTTTCACATTATATGCCATAATCCAAAAATGTCTTTCACGAAGCAAGCACAAATTATATGTTGCTTTTGTTGATTTCAAGAAAGCTTTTGACTCTGTAGATCGTTCCAAATTGTGGTATTGCTTAAAAATCTGGTTTACAAGGAAAAATGTATAATATTCTAAAGTCAATGTATTCTAACATAAAATCGTGTGTACGTTGTGGTAATGATGTAACCGACTTCTTTGATTGTCCCATAGGGTTACGACAGGGGGCTGTATCTTAAGTCCAATGTTGTTTTCTTTCTTTATAAGTGAACTGTATTACGATATTACAATCTCTGGTAAA